GTAGTCAAAAATAGAAATATTATAGGAATAGAATACTGTAGAAATTATTAAGGTTAAGAATGTGTATCTTCCCTTGGCACTGGATTTCTAGGAGGTTTCCAGAAAGCTGTGGCTGTTTGTTATAAAAGTGAGGAAGGGGGCTAGTTACAAAGGCTATTTGGCATGTGACACATGAACTAGGTGACCAAAGTTCATATAAATAGTAACAAAATATACCAGCGTTATGTATGCTCAATATTATGCCCTGAGAAAGGCACAATATCACTTCAGTGGTATTTTAGCTGAATATACAAACTTTGAATCATGAGAATACATGACACAAAGCCAAATTCGGGGAAATTTACAAAATCATTGACCAGTGCTCTTCAAAAGTATCAAAATCATGAAAGATGAAAGAAGACAGGGAATGCCACAGATGTCAGGAGACTAAAGAGATATGGCAATTTATTTAATATCTCAGTTGATTAACTACTGTTGTTGTTGTTTAGCCGCTCAGTCATGTCCAACTCTTTGAGACCCCATGGATGCAGCATGCCAGACTTCCTCGTCCTTCCCAAGGCTTGCTTAAACTCATGTCCATTGAGTCAGTGATGCCATCTTACCATCTTGTCCTCCGTCATCCCCTTCTCATGCTGCCTTCAATCTTTCCCAGCATCAGGGTCTTTTCTAATGAGTCGACTCTTCCCATCAGATGGCCAAAGTATCGGAGCTTCAGCTTCAGCCATCAATCCTTCCAATGAAGGATTTCTTTAAGATTGACTGGTTGCATCTCCTTGCAGTCCAAGGGACTCTCAAGAGTCTTCTCCAATACCACAGTTCAAAAGCATCAATTCTTTGGCACTCAGCTTTCTTTATGGTCCAACTCACATCCATAGATGACTACTGGAAAAACCATAGCTTTGACTAGATGGACCTTTGTGAACAAATTAATGTCTCTGCTTTTTAATATGCTGTCTAGGTTTGTCATAGCTCTTCTTCCAAGGAGCAAACGTCTTTTAATTTCATGGCTGCGGTCACCATCTGTGGTGATTTTGGAGCCCAAGAAAATAAAGTCTGTCACTGTTTCTATTGTTTCCCCATCTATATGCCATGAAGTGATGGGACCAGATGCCATGATCTTAGTTTTTTGAATGTTGAGTTTTTTTTTCCATTTATTTTTATTAGTTGGAGACTAATTACTTTACAATATTGTAGTGGTTTTTGCCATACATTGACATGAATCAGCCATGGATTTACATGTGTTCCCCATCCTGAACCCCTCTCCCACCTCCCTCCCTATCCCATCCCTCTGGGTCATCCCAGTGCACCAGCCCCGAGCACTTGTCTCATGCATCCAACCTGGACTGGCGATCTGTTTCACACTTGATAGTATACATATTTTGATGCTGTTCTCTCAGATCATCCCCTGCTCACCTTCTCCCATAGAGTCCAAAAGTCTGTTCTATACATCTGTGTCTCTTTCTCTGTCTTGCATATAGGGTTATCGTTACCATCTTTCTAAATTCCATGTATATGTGTTAGTATACTGTATTGGTGTTTATCTTTCTGGCTTACTTCACTCTGTATAATGGGTTCCAGTTTCATCCATTTCATTAGTGAATGTTGAGTTTTAAGCCAACATTTTCACTGTCTTCTTTCACTTTCATCAAGGCTCTTTAGTTCCTCTTCACTTTCTGTCATAAGACTGGTGTCATCTACATGTCTGAAATTATTGATATTTCTCCCAGCAATCTTGATACCAGCTTGTGCTTCATCCAGCATGGCATTTTGCATGATGTACTCTGCATATAAGTTAAATAAGTTGGGTGACAATATACAGCCTTGACTTATTCCTTTCTCAATTTGGAACCAGTCCATTTTTCCATGTCCGGTTCTGTTACTTCTTGACCTGCAAACAGGTTTCTCAGGAGGCAGGTAAGGTGGTCTAGTATTCCCATCTCTTGAAGAATTTTCTATAGTCTTTTGTGATCCACACAGTCAAGGGCTTTAGCGTAGTCAATGAAGCAGATGTTTTTCTGGAAATCTCTTGCTTTTTCTATGATTTAAGGGATGCTGAAAATTTGATCTCTGGTTCCTCTGCCTTTTCTAAATTCAGCTTGAACATCTGGGAGTTCTTGGTTCATGTACTGTTGAAGCCTAGCTTGGATAATGTTGAGCATTACTTTGCTAGCAAGTGAAATATGTGAAATAAGTACAATTGTGGGGTAGGTTGAACATTCTTTGGCATTGCTCTTCTTTGGGATTGGAATGAAAACTAAGGTTTTCCAGTCCTGTGGCCACTGTTGAGTTTTCCAAATTTGCTGGCATATTGAGTGGAGCATTTTAACAGCATCATCCCTTAGGCTTTGGAATAGCTTAGCTGGAATTCCATCACCTCTACTAACTTTATTCATAGTGATGCTTCCTAAGACCTACTTGACTTCACACTCCAAGATGTCTGGCTCCAGGTGAGTGATCATACCATCATGGTTATCTGAGTCATGAAGATCTTTTTTGTATATTTCTTCTGTGTATTCTTGCCCCTTCTTATTATCTTCTGCTTCTATTATGTCCATATCATTTCTGTGCTTTATTGTGCCCATCTTTTCATGAAATGTTCCCTGGGTATCTCTAATTTTCTTGAAGAGATCTCTAGTGTTTTCCTCTATTTCTTTGCATTGTTCACTTAGGAAGGCTTTATCTCTCCTTGTTATTCTTTGGAACTCTGCATTCAGATGGGTATTTATTTCCTTTTCTCCTTTTCCTTTGCTTATCTTCTTTTCTCAGCTATTTGTAAGGCCTACTCAGGCAACCATTTTGCCTTTTTACATTTCTTTTTCTTGGGGATGGTTTTTATCACCATCTCCTGCGCAAAGTTACAACCTTGGTCATTAGTTCTTCAGGCACTCCGTCTATCAGATCTAATCTCTCGAATCTATTTGTCACTTCTACCGTATAATCCTAAGGGATTTGATTAATTACTAAATTAACTAAACTATCCTGGATTAGATCTTGGACAAAACTAAGAACATTTGGGAAAATTGACAAAATTTGAGTAAGATCTATGGAGTTGTATTGGTGTTAATTTCCTGGTTTTGATAATTATACATGGTTATGTAAGATATTGGAGAAGGAAATGGCAACCCACTCCAGTATTCTTGCCTGGAAAATCCTATGGACGGAGGAGTGTGGTAGGCTACAGTCCATGGGGTTGCAGAGTCGAACACGACTGAGTGACATCAATTTACATAAGATATTAACATTAGAGGAAGTCAGATGAAGGCTACATAGGAATTCTCTTTACTTTTAAGCAACTTTTATGTAAATCTAAAATCATTTCAAAATAAAAAGTTGAAAAATTGAGGAGGATGGATTAAACTCTATGTTCTTAAAGGAAAAATTCTCCCAATTTCCAAGGGCCACATCAATCATTTCCATCATTAATATGGTCACTAAGCCTTTGTGATGTGTGTGTAATGTGAGATGCCTTTGTGGAAGGGTCATTAACTTTGGATGGTGTACAGAATAGACAATATCATTTCTCCAAGATATGATATTCACTGTATACAGCAGTCATTTATTAAACAGACATACCAACTAGTATTTGAGATGCTGAAAATACAATGATGAGCAAGATAATAGATCCCTGGCCTCCTGGAATTTCTAGTCTTATTAATGAGGAAGATGAATCAGAGCTCTTTTTTTGGCAAATCTTAGAAGTAGACTTCTCAGTATGAAAATGGTGTTGAGAGAATGGGACTTAGATCGAAAAAGAAACGTCAAAAACCTTGGAGAAGGTATTCAAACTTTTGATGCATAATTGCAGAACATTAGTCCACGATTGTATAGGAGAGAAGAGCAGAAGGCAGAAAAGTGGATTACAGGAAAGAAAAATCAGTGGAAAGTAATACGGGGGACCGATTGAAAGAATGAAGGCGAGAAAAGTAATTAATGAGAACATTTGCGGTTAGTTTGTAGTATGATTTAGGCCACAAGCATAGCTGCAAAAAAAAAAAAGCAAGAGAATTGGAGAGTGAAGGACTCTGCTGAGTTATACGTGATTTTAGAACGTGTGTATGAAGAGGACAGAAAAAGGGGGATGGGAGACAGCAAGAGAGAAAACATCAAATGGGAGAAAACATCAAGTTGGGGACTGCTGAAAAAGGAAACGATACACGGATACTTGGCAGGAAGGATACTAGTCACCTATAAACCCCGGGAATGCGTGGAAGCGGGAGTGTCTGGGCGGTGCCGGGTGGCTGCGAGCTCGCCCCAGGGCCCGGGGGCTTGCGGACTGGGGCGCCCCAGCTAGGCGCGTGGTAGGGGGAAGGTTGCGGGGTGGAGGGGGAGGTGTGCACTGTGTTTGGTGATGTCATTGCAAGTCAGGGAGCGGTGAAATTTAACACCGGCCGGATTTGCTGGGCTCCTCTTCTTCCAGGGGAAGCAGCCGGCGGCAGTCCACGCCGAGCGCCTGCAGTTGCCACCGGCCAGCTCGCACGGACAAGATTTCCGAAGTGGGTGTGTGTGCTTGTCTGACAAATGTTCCAGCGCGGGTTGTTTCCAAGGACTTCCTCCCCCACTTCATCTCCTGCCCTCCCCCCACTCCTTTCTCCTCCCAGGCCCAAAGCGGAGGACTCCACTGGAGTCACGGAGTCGCCTTTGAACCGCAAGTGAACTAGAGGGCTGCGCTCGCAGCCGAGCTCCCGCTGCTGCCGGCGTCCCGCAGCCCGCCAGTGAGGTGTCCCTCCTTGCCCGCCCTCCCAGGGGAGCGCTCCCCCCCGGGCCTGTCCGCTGCCGAGCTGGGGCCCTGGGCAGCCTAGCCGTCTACCCGCCCGGTGCTATTTCTCTGCTCTTCTTCCATCTGCCCCTCCCTGTTTGGTTATTGTTGAGGTTTTAGAGCATCGTTTTCATGTGATTTTTTTTTTTTTTTCCTTTTTCATGGACAGTACCTGTACACTTAGCAGTTCGGAGTTGGCTTCTGTTTTCCGTTAGCGCCCCGCTGTACGGACAAATGCATACAAATGCATTTAGGAGCCCACAGGACAAGGCGTGGACAGGTCTCCCACACGGCAAAATCGTAAGTAGCCCACCCGCGGGGCAGGGGTTAGACCGGCCGCTCTCCCCACCCCCTGGATCCGCTGAGCTGGTTGGCGATTTGCGCCCCAGCTACTTGGCACTTTTTTTTTTTTTTTTTGAAGTTGGGAGCCGGCGAACAGCCGCAGCATCCTCCCCTTGTCTCTTCAATTTGTAAAATACCGTGCTTGAAAGGAAGCCTCCTGCCAGCGGGTCTCTCAGACAGTTTATGCTAAAGAGATCCTGCGGCTCGCGAGGAACAGCTCGCTGGCTCACGTCCCGAGGCCGGTGGTAGCGGCTCTTGCAGCCCTGGAGCTGGACTCTGACACCCGCCCGGGCTCCAGCTCCCATTGCCCTTGCGCCTTCCTTCCGTTCTTCTCCCTCAGGGTCCTGGCTGAGGTCTTGTTTCCCCTCGGTGCTCCTCGAGCATCCAGCCTGGGAACTGCTGGGGTGCTCGCGGTCCCCCGAGCTCTGTGCGCGGAGCCTGAACCATGCGGTAGGGTTGCCGAATGGGGGAGAGGGTGCCCACAGAACCTCGGACACCAGGGAGCTCCTGTAATCATGAGACACAGAGGCAGTTGCCTCTAGTCGTTAGGAGGCCAACAAACGTACTGCCCATCTGGGGCCAGGCTGTCCCCTGCTCACTGGAGTGTCATTGGGGAAGGGGCTGGACCCCGGGGGAGGACGGGGGGCGCCCGGGGCTGTTGCTCCCAGGGAGTGATCTCACCGGCCCTCCCAGGCACTCCATCTGCACTTCGGGCATTGTTATCGGCTCCCACTGCCTCAGTGGGAGAAGAGCGTGGATGAGGGGTAGGGGGCGCGTGGCCTCGGCTGGCTGTCCTGGCCCTTCTTGGAAGATGTCAGTGGGTTATCGAAGTTTGGTTTTGGCCTCAGGGGTAGGAGAGACGAAGGCGGCTGTGGTCTTTCTCTGCTACTAGGCTGCAACGCGGGAGAGTAGGAAGGAGGAGGGCAGGGGGGCAGAACTGAGAGTGCCAGCTAAGGGCAGGCGGAGGCGGAGTGCAGAGAAAGACCGCCTTGTGGCAGTGTTTGTATGAACATGTGCTTCCCAGCCGCTGGCAGCCCAGTCTGGCTAGGGCTCGCGCACTCTCTCCTTCACCTCTGGGAGCCTGGGCGGGCTGCCGGCTTCCCCACTGACAAGGATGCACATACCCACGCGCCTGCTGCAGAATGAATCAGTGAGCGGGAAAGCTCAGAACCTCAGCCACCGCGTGCGTGCGTGCAGGGGTGTGCCCGGGTCCCCCGGGGCTAGGGGGCGGGCGGGATCCCTGACACTTCTCCTCCAGGGTCCGGGAAGAGGTCAGTCCCTGCCGGCCGCCTGACCCAGAGCGGTTCACACAGGTCTCATCAGGTTTCCACACAGCTTTCTTGCCACTTCTCTCGGAGAAAGCACCTTGCATGGCCCTGCCTTGGAAAGCAGGGTAGGGAGTGCAGCGGACCCTGAGGACCGCTGGACCAGGGTGAGTGGAATGGTAGAATCAGACTTGGGTCTCTGAGGCTCCAGAGCCACCCTGAGAGATTGGATGAGGTCCTCCACTTCCTGTGCCGCCACTACAGCGTCCCCCTCCAGCCGTTGCGCTCCTTGCCCTCCCTGTTCCCCTCCATCCATCCATGTTCCCTTCTTGCCCCCCCTGCCAGCGCCCACCCCCAGGGCTCTCCCTTGGCTCCTCCACGAAGCCCACGGTGCTGACAAACATTCCCCTTGGCAGTTGTGACCAACCTTGCAGATTAAAGATCTTCAGCTCTTAGCCCCTGTCTTGTCTGGTTTACACTTCTCTTCCAGACGCTCCCAGAAAAGGTCCTGCATACATTCTTGGGCAGTTTGGGGTTTGTAAATTGGGTCCAGATGATTGGGGGGAGGGAGGCAGAGAAACCAAACAGAATGGATTACCCCAAGGAACTTCTGAGGAAAAGTTAGACTATGAGTAATTGGGTAAAAGAATCTTCCTGGAGAGGCATCAGATTGGTAGAGGATCCTGTGTGAAGGTCCTCCTCTCTCCTGTTCTCCAAGCAGCCTCCAGCCAGGGGCCTTGCAGACTCCTATGATATCAAGTTTGTTCCATGACGGTTCCCAGTGAGGGTGAGCTGCAGAAAATTGATGGTAATTCAAGATTACATCAGATTGCAATCCCTCACAGCTTCAACCACACACATGCAGAGTGGGGAAAGGTAGTTACCAATTGAGCTGAGAAATTGTTTCTTGAAAAAAATCCAGTTTCCGTAAAGAATTCAGAGTTCTTCAGTTTGAAATAAATGCTACCAACCTCATAGGAATAGGAACTTAGGGAAAAGGAGCTTATTAGCTGATGATAATGTCAGGCCACTGAATTAAACCTTAGAGTGCCTAATGTAACCTCTGAGGTTTTAATTTTCCACCATCCTTTTGTGGTGATGTTTTGTAAGAGCAGGGTTTTTTTTTTTTTATCACAGTTCCGATTAGTCACCCAGAAATATTTACAGTTTTAAAACTAGATCCTTACAGACATTTTATTTCAGCGGGCTACTTTGATTCACATTCACATTCCTAATGTGAACTTGTGGAATTAATGAAAAAAATTAAAACCAAGAATGATAGGTACATTGATTTCTGTAAACAAAAGTGTAAACAAAGTTTGGGACATAAAGATCTATTTCCTAGCTTGCATGAAATTTTGTTTTTAAAGTTGCCTCGTTATCTTTGTGTTCAAATAAATGTTTAAAGCAAATGGATGTCTTAGGAAGAGTAATTGTAATTTATAGAAAGCAATTTTGAGTGTTATTTATACATTCTGCTTGGTAAACTATGAAGCTGCAGAATGATAAATCATATTATAGGAACTAGAAGAGCTGTGCTAGTTTTCTTGCCATGCTTTGCAACTCTGACTTGTTTTATTTTATTATTTTTTCCCAATTATTTTTATTAGTTGGAGGCTAATTACAATACTGTAGTGGTTTTTGCCATACATTGGCATGAATCAGCCATTGATTTACATGTGTTCCCCATCCTGAACCCCCCGTCCCAACTCTGACTTATTTTAGAATTTGTAATTCTGAGTGAGACGTGAAGATGATTTCATTTTCATTCTCTTAAAAGGCTAACGTTCCATCATTCATTCACTCATCATTTATTTACTCATTTATTCAGCAAATGTTCACTGAGTTCCATCTATGTGTCTAGCATGGTTCTAGGCAGAAGGGATACAATGACTGAGCAAGACAGAAGCACAATTGCTGCCCTTCCAATGTGCCCAGTTAATATAGGAAACCAAAGATGAAACAAGCAAGTGTAAACAACGAAACCAGCAAAAAAAAAAAAATGACGTAAGGATATATACAGAAGGACATCTAACTGTCTTGGTAGTTGGGGAAGATAGGGAGGGGTAGTACTGGAAGGAAAGACTAACCAAAGGAAATGAAATCTAGACGGAGACATAAGTGGAAAAGGCATGGAACTTTACAGACAGAACATAAAAGGCTCAGAGGTGAGACAGCATGGTGCATTTGAGGGACCAGAAGAAATGAAGTTGGTTGGAATATACATTCTTTTACTTCCTTAGCTAAATAAATGGAGGTTAGATGACCTGACTTCTTGATCTTGGGTTCACTGTGCAGGTAGAAAATGTCAGAGGAGTTATATATCAGTTGAAACTCGAGACAGCTTGATAATCTCATTGATTGAAGATTTGATGCATTCATTCATTTAAAAATCTTTTACTTAACAGTAGTGTCAGTTTAGTTCAGATGCTCAGTCGTGTTCAACTCTTTGCTACCCCATGGACTGCAGCACTCCAGGTTTCCCTGTCCATCAACAGCTCCAAGAGCTTGCTGAAACTCATGTCCATCAAGTCAGTGATGCCATCCAACCATCTCATCCTGTCATCCCTTCACCACCTGCCTTCAGTTTTGCCCAGCATCAGGGTCTTTTCCAGTGAGTCAGTACTTCGCATCAGGTGGCCAAAGTATTGGAGCTTCAGCTTCAGCATCAGTCTTTCAAATGAATATTCAGGACTGATTTCCCTTAGGATGGACTGATTTGATCTCCTTGCAGTCCAAGGCACTCTCAGGAGTCTTCTCCAGCATCACAGTTCAAAAGCATCAGTTCTTCTTAAAGAAGAACTTTAAGGTCCAACTGTCTTAGCTTTCTTTAGGGTCCAACTGTCACATCTATTCATGACTATTGGAAAAACCATAGCTCTGACTATATGGACATTTGTTGGCAAAGTAATGTCTTGCCTTTTTAATATGCTATATAGGTTTGTCATAGCTTTTCTTCCAAGGAGCAAGCATCTTTTAATTTCATGGCTGTAGTCACCATCTGCAGTGATTTTGGAGCCCAGGAAAAAAATGTCTGTCACTGTTTCCATTATTTCCCCATCTGTTGCATGAAGTGATGGGATTGGATGCTATGATCTTAGTTTTTTGAAAGTTGAGTTTTAAGCCAGCTTTTTCACTCTCCTCTTTCACTTTCACCAAGAGGCTCTTTAGTTCCTCTTTGCTTTCTGCCATAAGGATGGTATCATATGCATAGCTGAGGTTATTAGTATTTCTCCTGGCAATCTTGTTTCCAGCTTGCGCTTCTTGCAGCCCAGCATTTCGCATGATGTACTCTGTGACTCAGCTGGTCAAGAATTCACCTGCAATATGGGAGACCTTGGTTTGATCCCTGTGTTGGGAAGCTCCTCTGGAGAAGCAAAAGGCTACCTACTCCAGTATTCTGGCCTGAAGAATGCCATGGACTGTATAGTCTGCAAAGAGTCAGACATGACTGAGTGACTTTCACTTTTCACTCTGCATATAAGTTAAATAAGCAGGGTGACAATATACAGCCTTGACGCACTCCTTTCCCAATTTGGAACCAGTCCGTTGTTCCATGTCTGGTTCTAACTGTTGCTTCTTGACCTGCATGGAGATGTCTCAGGAGGCAGGTCAGATGGTTTGGTATTCCCATCTCTTCAAGAATTTTCCACAGTTTGTTGTGATCCACACAGTCAAAGGCTTTGCATAGTC